TGGACTGGACAAGGAATTTGATCCGAACAGGCTCGGCTTTCCAAAGCTCTGTCCAGGAGATTCTGCGGGACTCAGCTTGTTCTCACCTGGTGCACGCTCCTTGTTTGGACATGCCGGCCATTTTGGTGTGGCGTTCTTCTTCTTCCACCTTAGCTCGTATCTCAGCATCAACTTTGCATCGGCAAATGAGGATCTGGATTCTCGGGCGAACGTCTGATGCTTTATTAAAATGTCCTCTTCACTAACAATGCAATGCAGTAAAGCTTTTTCTGTGTGAGAGCACTGATGTTTGGATATTTATGACTCTCTGCATGAAAAGTTAATCGTTTAAAACTAAGCAGAAAAGAACATTTTTGTTCTGAATTTAAAAATAAACACATTTGTTGGATAAACTGTGCGAGTCCAGAAACGGTTGATCAAACTGCTAGCTCTCGTTATTGTCTCCGGGGAGTCTGACTGATCTATAAATAGCGGCAGATGCAGTTATAGCTTTATTTGGAGGGAAACTTCTTCCTCTCTCAGTCTCACCTGCTTGCATCTGATGAGTGTCAGAGATGATTGGAAGCATTATTCCGGGATTTTACACCTGCACCAGCCAGCTGAAACCTTCTGCTTGTTAAACTCAATCAGCTGATGCAGCAAACAGCAGCGTTACATCAGAAGAACATTTTCCAATGTGCTAAAACCACTTTGATTTGGATAATTACTCTGAGTATTACTCTCTAGTCAAAGGGGTGTTTTAATTAGAAAAAGCAGATGTGGAATTATGCTTGTACACATCCTGAAACGAACATGCAAAAACCTTCAAGACTGTATTTTTAAGTGAAGAATTTAAAGAAAAATACGTTATTCTGTTTATTATGGAAGTATGCAGATAATTATATAGGAGAACAAATAATCACAGTCTAAATAGGTTTATGCTAATTCTTGGTTTGGATTCATGTAAAATTCCTGAACACTGCTTTTAATCTTTTTTGAATTTTAGACCAACTTGCTACCGGAGAGAAAAAGCAGCGTTAACATGAAGAACTGCTTCCTTCGAAACTCTTGTAAAAGCAGCGAGTCAGGTTCAGCTTTTTGTCTGAGATGTTATTCATTGTATGCAGTGAGGCAGCCTTTGCCTTCCTGCCGCCGCGGTAATTTTTCAGTCTGATGGGGGCTCGGCGCTCCCCTGCTCCTTCCATTTATGCGCTTTCACTTTGATCCACACTTGACCTTCCGTTACGAGCACAGTGTCTAAAAATCCTTTCATGTGATCTCAGGGAAGTGTTTGGGAGAGAAAGAACTTCTCAGTTGTAGTCCCTAAAGAAAACAGTTTAAGACCAACAAACTCTTTAAAGCGATGCCATAAATCAAGAACGCTAATTTCTTCACGATCCCGTACTTTCTGGTGAACTTGTGTTCATGATGTGCCTTGATCTTTGAAAGGAGCACGGAGGGAATGAAAATGAACCACATGACCTCTGCGAAGTTTTGCACTACCAAGTTGCAAAGGGGCAGTTAGATGAAATTCAAAGACTGCAATACAATGCAATATTTGCATAAAACGAGCACATGGTGTCTGTAAATGTCATGAGTATTAAAGTCTCTTTCCGAGTTTTCCGATGGTACCATCTAGTGGCTGACAAGCATATCACACAAAAAGTCTGTTACTCTGTTTTTTTAAGATGTGCTTCTGTAGCCGACAAACAGAGCTAAAACATGTTGATTTACAAGTATTATTCTCATGTCATGTTGTGTTCTCATATATTTATATTTTAGAGACTTTCTTGTCTGTGAAAAGTTCATCAACTCTTTATCAGACGAGGTAATCCGTAAATTTGAAGAACTCAGTTCCTATTGCACGGAGCTCTGTGGGGCAGGGGGCGTGCTTATCAAAAAAACAAAGAAGACGTATTGCTTACATTATATTACAGTACATGATAAGATGATCACGTTTACGGATTTCTGAAAAACCATATGTAATTTCTGAAAGTAGAAAACTCCAGAAATCTACTTTAAGAGCTAATACAAACTGAAATCTGTGGACACAAAATGAGTGTTGTAAAATCAAGTCAGTGAGTGGTGTAGGGCCACACAGCAAAAGTACACACATGTAAACTGATTCCACACAGGAACATTCCCCATTCAGACGGGAAAGTAAACGATTTGTGATTTTGTTCAACAGGCAGTGCGCTTGTTTGTCCCCAAAAATCAGACCAAGGCACTCCAACATGCTCGAAAGCCTATAACCAGAGCTGTCCCGACATTCTTCCAAGCAGACCAGAGCCCTCTTACCACCACATACGGCAGGAATATCTAATAAGATTATCTTTACAGCCTTTATTGTAATCGGGCATGTCTGATTGTCAGCAGGGGACGATCGGGTCAAAATTTGCAACAATCATCCTGCTTTGTGAACCAGGTTTAAGACTTGGATCAGTTCCTGTTTCTCCTCCTATCTTCTCTGATCATGGCGTATAAGACAGCCTCCCTAATAAGATAATTACCATCAGAATTAACGATCCATTAATGATAATGAATGCTTCTCAGTGAGGCCAGTAATGTTTAAGGCTGCCACAAACGACCACTTTAATAGTCGACTAATCGCCAGTTATTTTGACGATTAGTCAACTAATCTTGTCAAGTTTAGCTTATTGCACCAGGATGATCTAATAGACCCATCATTAATTTGAAGAGTGATCAGTTATGTGACATTTAATAATAAAGACAAGATGATAGGTTATCAAACAACCTTTAATTAACTTTGTAACCTGTTAATACAAATGCTGCAGTCAAATGGAGGTAGGCACCTAAAACCAAAAATAAATTGTACACAAAAATGACTCATGCTTGCAAATGTATCAAGCTAAAATAGTCATTTATGGCGTTGTGAGATACTCGTTCATTGAAGAGGAGGAGCACAATTTTTTAACAATGTAACATAGCAGGATTAAATAATCATTAGCATTTGTACAATAGAGCAAATATGTGACATACATACGTTTTCTAAAGGTAATAAAATCGCCATCACTACTGTTGTTGCTACACCTAGGAATACAAGCAATTCTCTGTTGATGTTAGCAGCTAACGAGAGGTAATTAGCTTACAGAGGCGACTCTTTGCTCTCCGCCAGGACTGCTTCCATTTAAGGTGCTTGTTCATCGCTGATGTGCTCCCGTGAAAGGAGAGTTTCACTTTGCACATTTTGCATTCTACGTGTTTCTTTTTTGTCTTTGTGAAATTCTCCCCAAACTCACAATGGTGGTCTCACCAGATACTGACCGGTTCTAAGTCCCCAGACCCCCAATAAAGCAAAAAAACTGCACATTCCAAGGTGGCCTTTTATTGTGGGCAGTATAAGGTACACCTCTGCACTACTCATGATGTCGGATCAGCATCTTGATGTGGCACACCTGTGAGGTGGGATGGATTATCTCAGCAAAGCAGAAGTGCTCACTATCACACATTTAGACTGATTTGTGAACAATGTTCGAGAGAAATGGTAATATTGTGTATCTGGAATGAATTTTAGATCTTTAAGTCCATCTCATGAAAAATCGGAGCAGAAACAAAGGTGTTGCGTTTATATTTTTGTTGAGTGTAGTAGCAGGCTTTCTCTGGAGGTTAAAATAAAATAGCATCTGTTTTCAGCTAGCCCTTCACTAGAACACTGACAGGTTTTAGGTGTTTTTAGTATGTGTGTTACAACTTGTTCTGCTAGGTGCAGATGCCAATAAAAAAATCCACAAAGCAGCCTTGACACATTGTCTGGAAACCAGAATAACCATTTAGTAACTGAGCTTTCAGCTCCCCATAGAAATTATTTTGTATTTATTGAGAATTTTAAATAATGTCAGATCTCGGCTGCCTTCAAGTTCACTTTAGTAATATGTAAAACCACATTCATATAACACAGTAACAAAATTATTTGTTTTGCTGATACATATTTTTTGCTTTAAGTTACAATGTGCATTTTCCCAGGTGATAGGGGACAGTAATTACCTAAATCTTTACAAATTAGGGTAAAAAATCCCTGGGAGCACAACATCCGGCAAAATGACAAGCGCACCAGACTCGCTTTCATCACTTGCAACAAATGAAGAGGTAAATGTGTAAAATAACAAGGTTTATGAATGGCGAAAGTTTTGTAACCGTTTGTTACAAATCAGTAAATGCGTTTTATTCTCACAAGCTCCCATAGAGGGAAATATGGCGTCTAATATGGCTTCGCCCAGAGATAAGACCCACATCCATGTATTTTAGACCTGATTTTTATGGTTATATGTTACGAAGCCACCAAATATTTCAACAACTAGGCATCATTTCATTCATTTTCAACATTTTTATGGATTCTTCCAGAGATTAATGATAAAAACTACAAATTGTCACTTTATGGATGAATAAAAAGAGGTTATACAATTTTTTTTAGATACACAAGTGTGGCTTCAAGGCTCCTGGTGTTTTAGATAAACATAAGTATATAGATATGTGAATGGCTTTAATGTCTGTAAGAAGACTCTGTAGTTCCTTCACAGTGAGCTTGTGTTGCAGAGTTGTCTGACTTTAAACCAAAAAGTCCTGATCAGCATGTACGCAGCGTCACACACAAATGTGCCATCTTTCTAATGTCAAAAAGTCGTAAACCTACGAAATGCAAAAGTTCAAAAAAAGCAAAGCATTTCTGGAGCTGAGATGCCTTCAGATGAGAGAGGTAAACGCCTACATGTGGTACTGATGCAAAAGCCACATCTTCATCCACCCAACAAATGTTTCAATGTTTCAACCTCTACAATAACTTTCCTCTGTAGGCTACATCTTGCTTTAAAATGGTTGTTATATCAAATGGGCTTTCTGTGGGATTTAAAAGATATTTATTTAAAAATTGACTGTTAAAAATAACTCCCACAAGCCTGCTTGATGCTTAAGATTTGACTTGTATTAAGTAAATTTAATCTAGGTTTGTTTTGTTCTGTTTCCCACTGAATTTTGTTTCCTTCTTGCTTCCGTTGTTCCCGCAGGGCAGCTCGTTGCTGTTACGGTCGGATAAGAACGTAACTCTGAATGCTAGAAACAACCAAGGCCAACTGACTGGTCAGCTCTCAGTGGGTAAATTTCCAGTGTTTTCTTTGTTGCTCGTCATCATCCGGTACCTTTACACGGTAAAATGTAGTGTTCCGGGCTGCTGATGGAGGGACATCCTACATAGATAAATAATAGATATTTAATTAGGTCAGATTTGTAACTGTGTTCATATAATTTCTTAATATCTTAAGACAGGGATTCCAAGTTCCCTGAAAGAGTTCAACTTTGCTCTTCTCCTTTTCTTGATGAAAGGTCAGTAGATTATTTTTGTCAAGTTGAACCATCAGTCAGCCCAAATGACTGAAGTCATTGTGATGACTGACGATCACCGGCGACCAAATGGCCTGCTTATTAACATCATGAGCTATTGATTGTAGACAGCATGAGTAGAAAGTTAAAGCATTCAGTTACAGTAAAGTTGTTGTCTTGTGCTTTATTTATCTGCTTCGTTGTGCTTAGTTCTCATTTTGTTTTTGCAGGGCCTGAATCTGTGGAGGCTCAGTGTCAAAGGCTGGAGGTGCGAAGCAGGGACAGCAGGAATCTTCTGTTCTCCGCAGAGGAGGAGGAAGTCACAATGACGGCAGAAAAGTTCACAGTAACAGGTAAACTGTCACAACTGGTTGGTTTCTGAGGCGATAGTGAGAACTAACACACGTTTTAACGATTTCTGCAGATGATGGAGCATCAGAGGTCTTTCAGACACGATATGTGTACAGGGGGACAATGTGTTGTGACCTTAAAGCTACAATAGCAATTCTGCAAAACAAGCTAGCTTTAAACATTTTTTCATGCCTCTCAACAACATTCTAACATAGTACTGTAATGTAAGTTGCAGTGGGCGCACGGGCAGAATATCTTGCCCTCCAGACAGAACCTGAAAACACCACCAGTAGGCAACAACTCATAAAACGATACACTTTATTACACGATCAACAATAAGACACAATAATAAAACACTATGGCCCCAAGCCCTCTCTCATAAAACCAGTTGTCCGGCAGCCCTAACGAACTGCGAACTACCCCACCCCCCAAAGTCCGATGCCACAATGACAGGTCGACCACGCACACCTCTCCGTAGACCTGTCACCCTTTTATCCTCCCTGGCCTCGTTATCCATAACGAGGACCAGCTGGTGTCCAATCACCACACCCTCAGAGCCTGGCAGCTTCCGTCTTCTGTCCATCACAGTACAGCTATATATTTTTTGTGGAGAAAAGGAAAACAAAAGAAATTTGATGGAGTGGTTCAGTCGCATTTGTTGAAAACCCTCAACATTCAGTGTTATCACAAGATGTCGTTGTTTTGTCAGAACGAAGGCGGTAAAACTGCTGCCACCTAGCAGTCGGAGGTTGAATTGCACCACACGAAAGAAAAACAGTAATTAAATCATTTTTTAATTGATTCAATAACAGAACACAAATTGGTGTCAACATTTCTACATAGTACAACACTTTCCAAAGCACAACATTAGGATAGTTGAGGCAGACAAATATATTATCATACAACAATTAGGATGCAACATATTCTGACCGTTCCATCCCAATGGTTAACACTTGTGGGTTTTGTTTGAAAAAAAAATTGCCCCTTTTTTAATGACACTTAAGAGTGTGGTTGACTGAAAAAACATTTTTTAAAGACCATTCCAATGGAAATTGTGTTTTTTTCTGTTTTAATATGTTCTTGAGGCATTTTTCTTACGCTTCAGGACACATCTACAGAAATTTATGCTCACAATTGCATTTCTGAGTATTTCTGCATTCAAATCGCTGTGAATGAGTGGCAGATGAAAAATAAAATCCAGCCTAAAACTGACTGGGGTTGTGAGGTAGAAAACCCAATGGGCAGAGGCTCAAACTCCACTCCACTCTGCCCCTCAGGCTCTGAGAAATAGAGAAGATGGAGGATGTGTTAGACAAAAATGGATGCATTTCCTTGGTCTCAGGGACATTTAAAAACATGCACCGGTTTGCAGTCAGCATTCCAGTGAAGACTGCATTAGCAACCGGCAGGAGAAAGAAATGGACTTTTCTTCTAAAACACTTTTGAAGCCCGTTGCACGTTTCACCTTGCGCTGCGCCCAAAGTGGTGCACATTCCACCTGTTTTCCCATCACATCAGTTATCTACCGGGCAGTAACGCCAGTGCTTCATGCTGAATCTGCTGTTTTGTAACTGAGTCTCGAGCCACACGTGTCCCAAACCACTCGGTCATGGGCGGAGGGCAAAGCCGCAGCTCCGATAGCTGGATGGATAGATCAACTGGTAAGGCACCAGGGGAACTGGGTCCAACTCCAGGTTGAACTGTATGAGATATTGGCTGAAACATCACTTTAATTTTACAGTAAAACAGTAAGTATTACTGTGTGTACTGTAATATTAATACAGTAATAAGAAGTCCACTGAAGGTCATTAAACATCCAAATGAGACAGAAAAACGTGTATGCCTCTTCACCTCCGTGCGATTCCCGGTTCAACTTTCATTTTGGAAATAATTTTTCAACCATGACAGGGCGTATGTGTTATAAATATTATTTTAGATTATAAATATATGTTCTGAACAGGACAATGTAAAGCAGAGGTCCCAACAGGGTGCTACGGCACCCAGCACGTCTCCTCCCCCTGAACAGAACTACACCATGTGTGGTTCGGGACTCGGTCCTGGGGAGAGGGCGAAGCCGGGCTCAGAGTAGATCGCAAACCTGTTTTACGCAATCTTCACGCAGCTCCAGGAAGATTCTGCTGCTGCAGCAGAGCAGACAGCCAGCACACAGCTCCAGAACACAAAGCTGACAGATTTCTTCACATTAGTTTAGAAAGTTGGACCGAGCTCGCTCGTACACAAGCCAGTCAGATAGGACGGTGGCGCTGTGCAGCAGGTGGACGTTTTCCCTATAAATGCTTCCAGACGTGTGTGTGTGTGTGTGTGTGTGTGTGTGTGTGTGTGTGTGTGTGTGTGCACGTGCATTACTCTTCTGTGCATCTCCCGTTAGAGCAGATGGGAGGGGGTGCGCTCGGTTTCACTTCTGTGCGTCTCCCAGCAGGTGGAGTGAAGGAGGAGGTCAGAGCAGCAGACAGATGACTTTTAAGCAACACAAGCTAATAATCTTTTTTTTTTTTTTTACCCAGAATGAACAAACACATTTCCTGATGATGATCTCAGTGGTCCAGATTGTTGCTGAGCCTTTCCTTCACTCCACCGGTCCGATTCTGTCCTCCACCTGCTGCACGGTGCTCTGACCGGCTTGTGTGTGAGCGAGCTTGGTCCAACTTTCTGAACTAAACTGAAGAAATCTGGCCCAGCCTGGATTCGAACCCCGGTCCTCTGCCACAATGTAGAAACTAAGTACTAGAAAATGGCACGGGGTTTGTGATTTAGGCTAAAAACAGCATAATCTTAGTTTAAAGACCACTGAGAACTATTTAAAAGCAGCTAAAAAATGATTACTTTAATATTTCTGACCATAATCGGTTACTCAAAGGTTTTCATGCAGGCTGAGCATGAAAAAAGTCTCCTACTCTTACCTTCTGCATTAGCTTCTGATAGAAAACTGATGGTAAAACTCAAGGATTTGAAAATCCTCACATATCTATGTCATACTGTGAATTTGCATTCATGACCTCACCCATCTTGGTGTGCACCTGCCCACATGAAGGTTTTTTTTAAAATAGGAGATCGAGTGTGTTGGTGACTTTGCAACATGGTTGAACAGGTTCTGTTAGCCAATCAGAAGCAACGTGTGGGCATATCGATACAATTACTAATGAGCAATCCAGCTGTTTTCAGCCCACCTCTGCATCTCAGAACAGGAGCATCATAGCTTATATTTGAAATGACTCATGAGACACTAATGTTCACTAGAGAGCACTGCAAATGTATTTGTGGCAGTGTGAGCGTCCCGTCACAGTGTCCCGATTGATCATGCGCCCTGTCTACTTGGCCAAGGGGATGTCCCTTTGCCTGACTGGTTAGCACGCATGACTCTCACCCAGGAGTCTGGGGATCAAATCCCGCCCGGGCCCTCGTTTCTCCACCGTGCCACATATTGAACAAATAAATAAACCACACCTTTAAGTAAATTAAGACTATTATATTAATTTTCATATCCTATGTTTATTTATTTGTTTCTTCAGGTTTGTTTTTGTCACAATCAACGACAGACACGTAATCTAATCCAAGGCTTTAGTAACAGGTTTCTGTCCACAGGCTCAGAAGGCGCTGTGTTCGGACACTCCGTCGAGACTCCACTGATCCAAGCGAGGCCTTCTGAGGACTTGAAGTAAGTTCATATTTAGTGACTTTACAGAAAGCCATTAAAGCTTAATGCCATCTGTTCACATCCTGTTAAATTAAAATTAAGATCTTTAAATATGCTCTGTGACATTTCAAACTGAATGGCAATGCTTTAAAAAACACACACATCAGGCACCATTACTCACCGCCATCATTATCTCCAGCTTGGTATTGTCGACTGGTTACCACCACTAGATCTGACCACTATATTAATTTCACAGCCGAGGGGTGAGCTTATTTATTAATTCTTCTCTATAGAAGACAGGAATTGATTAAAGTGCTGCAAAATCATGGATGAAGTTAGAAAGTGAGAGCCGTGCGCGGTTTTCCTCCCCCGTGCACGGGATCACCGCTGAACTCTGCCCGAGGCTGCGAGCCCCTCGTCGCTCCATTAACGAGCTATAAGGAGCGTGGTTTGTTGTCCAGCTTACTGCTCCTGAGAGGAGAGCGGGGATCAAAGTTGACAGAAAAAGCACTGTTCTGGCAGCTAATTCCTTCTAGAGTGAGAGGAATACAGATGATTTTCATTTTCAAGCCAACAATCAGGACACACACATACACACATCGGGTCGGCTCAGGGGTGACCATCTGCAATGTGGCCAAAATCTCAACGAGAGCCTATAAAAGGAGGAGACAGCTCAGAAGCAGCATGACGTTCACTGGTGCAGGAATTTGTTTTATGCTTCTTATGTCATTAAACACTGAGTCATAGTTTGATTTTTATTTTATTTTACATTTTCGTAAAGTTTCAGGACGACTGACGTTTTAATAATAAATATTCTAAACAAGCAGCCGTCCATCTGAACCTAATTTTCTTCTCTGATGTTCTTTGGTTTTAAACACAGAAGCATTAGACGAGCAGATTGGAGCTTATTGAATCATGAAGACAAGTCTATTAACATTTTTTCAGGGTTTTCTGTTGTCACTGTCTGTTTGAAGGCTAATTGGGCTGTGAATTAAAAAACAATCAAAGGAACATTATTAAGGGACGACTTGCCTCCAACACTGTGCAGATTTACTCGCCAGCTGAGCTTGAATACATCTAAATGTTATAAATCTAATTAAAAGCAGCAAACGTGGCTGTGTTGTTTGAGTTTCTGAGCAGAATGTGTTGTAGGATGTAGCACTTTTAAGGGATACTTTGCAACTTTTTCATATATTTAAATGTTTTACTTGAGCCAGAATGTGCTAAAGTGACCCTTTACAGGGTTCATGAAAGGCCACTCAGACCCTATCGCCCCCTGTTGCCAGAATATTCTACTTGCAACTTCAGCTCTGTTGGGATTTAGAAAAAAATGAAGCTGACATATCTGGCGCTGCAGTCTGCTTCCAGCACGTTTCCTGCATGTTTTTGATCATAAACACAGCTACTTTGTTGAATTTAGTGATGAATCACTCCTGTAGACACTAATGAAGGCTAGGAAGACATTTCAGCTGTTAGATTAAGGTGTTAAAAAGACGAACACACAGCGAGGAGATATGTTTTGCTTTCAGTTCTACAAACGGACACTAGGGGGTGCTAAAAGCAAGCTCAATTTTTCTGGTTCTCCTTTAAATGCTAATAGTCAATAAGATCGTAGGAGACTAGGGTGTGAAGCAACATGAGACATACTCAAACTGTATGCATAAACGTGCATTTACTTGCAATAGAACAACAACAATAGAGCGCGCTTTAACATGAGAAACAAAATAAACACCCAAAAATATTCCCTTTGTCGTTTACTGCTCTAGTCTGGTCAATGTCTGTCACAGTCTTTCAATGTGAGTTTTGAGCTCGAAGTTCACATCTGAGGGTTTGAAACCAACTGGTCACAAGCTACCATCTTGTTAGGCTCATGGGGGTTTTTCTCCATCCAGTACTGGAGAATGGATCCAGTCCAATGAGCACACACACGCTATGTCCAGAGGTCCAGAGAATACGCTTGTTTTTTCATTGGGTATTTTTTATTTTTCTGGCTGATGTACTAAAATGTTATACTAATATATGATTGGTTGGTCAGTTTTTAGATATGAATGAACAATATCTTGTCCCTTTTTATTATGGTTTTTAACTTATTTTATTTTTCTTCTTATAATTGTCTAAAAATGGCTCCCTCAATGTTTTTAAACATATTCTCAGGCTTTTTAGGATACAACAGTTCAAAACATACTTATAAACAATCAGTATAGCTGCCCTTTAACTTTGAAGTTGCTTCAGAAGATTCATTCCTACCGTATTTTCCGGACTATAAGTCGCACTTATTTTTTCATAGTCTGGCCGGTCCTGCGACTTATACTCCGGAGCGACTTATATACCAAATTATGTAGGCTATACCGCGCTGCTGCGGGCCGGCTCCGGACCAGGAATGAGCTCCCCTGTCCCGCTGGGAATAAAAAACACACAGCCATCACCTGCTGGAACCTGTTGCGCGCTGCTGCGGGCCGGCTCCGACCCAGGAATGAGCTCCCCTGTCTCGCTAGGAGGCTTTCAAACACCTTCATCCTCTGCTGGAGACCGTGGTGTGCTGCTGCGCCATGTTGTTTATTCTGTTATTGTTACCGGTTCTTGTCTTGCAATGTGGAAGACTTGGTCTCTGAATTTTTAAGAAAAATAATAACATTTCCCGCCAAAATGCGACTTATAGTCCAGTGCGACTTATATATGTTTATTTCTTCTTCATTATACATTTTATGGCTGGTGCGACTTATAATCCGGAGCGATTTATACTCCGGAAAATACGGTACTCTCTACTTTTCATCTTATCATCTTTTATATTATTTTTTTTAACACTTATTGCCACCACCCGAAAGGATTCACAATGGTGCACACAATCAAATTAAGAACAGTCAAAGCTCCTAAAAACCATTATGTACAATAATAAAACAATAAGACAGTAAAACAGATCTGCCCTTTATTCAATATGTATAAAAGCTAAAAATTAGGGAAGATCCGATCACATTTTTTTGCTCCTGATCTGAGTCAGAGTCATTTGATTTTGAGTATCTGCAGGGACGAAGTCCCGATACAAAGAATTCAAATAAGAAGGAAAAAGGGAAAACACGTCTAAGTTTGCCTTTAATTTTTTTATAATCATTTAGGTATTTATTTATTTCTGTATTTGTTTCATTTCCTTTGATACTACTTTGATAATAAATGTCCTAAAATTATGAAAATTAGGGATGCACCGAAAAATGTTGGCTGAAATTTACCCAAAAATGCATTTTCAGTTTTTGGCGGAAACATCAAAATGACTTGGAAAAATAAAACGTCCGAAACAGGCCAACAGGTGAACCCCGTTTCATTTCACCCCTCATGTGGCAATTTGCTCATTGCTTTATGAAAACAATACATTCGTACTGATTTCAAAAGTAAAGTTTTTCCCCTTTTAGTAATGCTGCTTTATTTCAAATGCTGGAATATCATGTAAATTATGTGAGGCGCGTTTTTATTTCACATCTACACAGCGGTTGTTTTTAATTTTTTCTTCTTTTACATTCCATCTATGTCTGTCACTACTAGAGGTGTTTTTACCATCTTCTCTACACCCACCATGTCCTGAACACGGTGAAATAACCTTTGGATCATGTGTGTGACGCGTGTTTACTTTCACGAAGCACTGGACAAGTGAATATCTTCATCAGAGGGTGAATAATACTCTTCAGAATCAGAGTCAGCCATTACCAAAGAGCTTTGTCAATAATGAACAGACCTGTCAGCGTTGTAAGTTTCTCCTCTCTAATATAAAATAATATTCGCACTCTGTGTGCTCTGCTTGTCTCCTCTCCTTATTTCCTCAGCCGGGTAGCCTGGCCTGCCAGACTCCTCCTCTGCTTAATTCTGCACAGAGAAAGAGTCTGGGAACTCTCCTGTTCAAATAACCCCACCCCGTGAGAATTCTAACCGAGCCAATCAGCGCCGAGTATCGTACATCACACGCCACAATGCCGAGTTTGTCATAAACATGATGACTGAAGTGGAGTTCGCTGCAGCTCTTTCCTTTGTTCTAAATGATTTGAACATGTCTTTAAAACCACAACAAGTAGAAACGCTAAAAGTATTTCTTCTAAAAAAAATAAAAGATGTTTGCGCCGTTGCCAGACCTTTTTTTTTTTTTACTACAACTAGAAATCTACCGCGTCGTGCGGTACAGTCAGGATTTCCGTCTTTTTTCTGATTGGTCATTTTTGAGCTGCCTAGTCCCGCCCCTCAAGTGCCTCTCTGCCTGTGAGTTACCAGACTCAGAATTAAACAGAGGAGGAGTCTGGCAGGCCAGGCTATCCGCCGGGAGTCTCAGGAGGCAGTTTTCAAAGTCCAAAAATTTTCAATGGAAACACCTAAAAGTGTTGCTCAGACTGCAGTTACACATCTCCACTATCTTCTGGCGTAAATTAATAACTTCGTGAGGAATTATATTTGGCTCGTTTAACGCAATATTGTGAATTATTGACATAATTTCTGTCGGTGTTTTTGTTTTCGGCCTTGGTTTCCTCATTTTTCTTTCGGTTCGTCCCTAATGAATATATTTAAAAGTAGCAGAGTTGCTCATATTTCAAATGGTTTACATCTTCATTATGCGGCTGTATTGGGTGATGCGCGTTCCCATTACCGGAGAGGCACGCGGCGCCGTGACCAGCAGGCTAACTTTTATCTGCACATCTGTAGCTACCAGCGCGGTCAGCTCAGGTGCTGAAGAATGAGTAACTATGACATTTAGCTGTCCGTTGTCAATTTCTGTGTGTATTAATGTATCTTTCACTGTTGGCTGGCTCAGTGTTTTTGGAAAATTTTTTATATTGAAAAACTCAAATTATTACCTGGAAAATGTTGAAGCTCAACAACGCCTACAAATATATATCCGCTCTTTATTTCTGAGATTACTTTGGTTCCACAAACTAATCCAAGTGTTATTAGCCAGTCATTTTTCTTAAGAATCTGTGAATGTTTTAAATTATATTGTGTGTGTGTGTGTGTGTGTGTGTGTGTGTGTGTGTGTGTGTGTGTGTGTG